CTGTTCTCTGGAGAACTGTGCTAACAGACTCACACTGTGGCCATGTATGTGTAAATGTGGAACACGAAACAGCAATTTCAAATTAAATTAAAGTATCTTTTATAAGTACTCTCCAATATAAATGTATAACCAAATGAATAAATGATAGTATAAGCAGAAATTTTAGTCTCATCTTCATCCCTACACTTATAAATTCTGGTTGGCAAAAAGTTTTTAACTCTTTTTCACTGGGAGAAGAGGGGATGCATTTTATTTGGGCATACATTGTGTTTTTATTACAGTAAGCTCTATTGTAACACAGTTTTTGTATTCCTAAAATCCACTCCACTGTGTAAGTCATGCAGTGAAAAGCACAGGGCTTATGGGAAATTGGAGGCACAACACTCAAAAACGTTGTCAGTGACACTTAAAAGCGTAGGAACCTAATAGGAACAGCAGCATAGTTTTATACATGTTAAATACTTAAGAAATACATAAATACTATCATGAACATGGCACTTTACCTTAAAAGATACCCGAAGTTTTCTTGGAGAAGTGGGCATTGGAAAGGTTGCAGTGTGTGAGTTGTTGTGAAGTGACGGGAAGAGGGTCACCTGAAATTGGAGGGTAAGTTGTAATAACGTGTAGATGAGTGTGGCTCATGATACACTGAGGTAGCTGGTAAGTGACTGGAGGTATGTGTGTGTTTTGTGTATTCCTATATGGCTTGGTTAAGCTGGCTGCAGTTTTTTGCGTTCATCTAGGGCAGTGATAGCGAACCTTTTGAGCTCGGCGGGTCAGCATTTTGAAAAACCCTAACTTAACTCTGGTGCCGTGTCACATATAGAAATTTTTTGATATTTGCAACCATAGTAAAACAAAGATTTATATTTTTGATATTTATTTTAAATATTTAAATGCCATTTAACAAAGAAAAATCAACCAAAAAAATGAGTTCGAGTGTCACCTCTGACACGCGTGTCATAGGTTCGCCATCACTGATCTAGGGTTTCTACAGGTAAAATCATGCATAAGCAAAGACAAAATGCTTGCTGTGCTCAAATTATTGCTTAATCATGTTGGAACATATTTGTGTTTCCAAATAGCAGAACTTGTTAGATATCATTTTAAAGAAATCATTTGTTGCCCCATCTTGTTCTTTTTACATGTTTGTAAGGATTCTGCATAGGCTCTTTTTACTGAGCCTTTAAAATGACTGCCTAACATAATGCTACATACCACGTTAAGTGTCTTGGTGTATTTTGAGTTTTTCCAGGATAATGAATTGGGTAATTTGGGAGTGGAATCAGAGTTCTGCTGGAGTGTGGTGGGTGATCACTGTGATACACAGGAAAACATCAGTTCTTTGGTTTCAAGCAAGTGCGTTATGTTCAATGGCCTCCTGGCTTTCATTATTGCTACCAGAATACCTTTAAACCATAACCTGAACCAATATTATAAAGTGTGTGGTTGGTTATGTTTGGGGGATCCTTCCCATTCATTTCTTGCTTTTATCTACTGTAGCCATTTTATATCAAAGTTTAGCAATAACAGGTTTCTGGGAGAAGTCTTGTTCTTTCATTCTCTCTCACTCCTCTGGCATATTTGGTTGGTAACAGTGAGGGCACGTGAAATGCTACCCCTCGTTTTCCTACCAGTTTTTTTTTTTTTTTGTAACTTTTAAGACCCTTACGTTGATGCCCTGAACCAGAAAATCAACTTTCTTTCACAGCATTTCCATTTCCCTTCCTGTCTAGGCATTTCTCTATGTTTCTGTAGTCCTCTGTGCATGCATCCCTCTTATAGTATACTAGAGGCCCGATGCACGAAATTCGTGCAAGAGTAGGCCTTCCTTCCCCCGGCTGCCAGCACTGGCTTCCCTCTGGCACCCTGGACCTGGGCTTCCCTCTGGCCGCCAGCAGGCACCTGGGATCCAGGCTTCCCTCGCAGCCCCGACTTCGTCCGGAAGGTCCTCTGGAAGGACGTCCAGTCTAACTAGCACATTATGCTTTTATTATTATAGATCATATTGTGTTTTGCAAAGTTGGACTGTCTCTCTGAATAAACTGCATATTTCTTGAGGGCACGGACTATATTTTTATCATTTTTTCTATATAGCAGAGTGTTTGCAATGCTGGTTAGGTGAGTAGATAATTGAATGAGTGAAGTGAGGCTGAAGAGAACTATCCATATGATCCTATAATTTGCTTCCCCCCCATTTTGACTAAGTTACATAATCTCAGTTACTTGGTCACTTGATCTTAAGGGTTTTTGCAGTGCAATAGTAAAATTTACTTTTGTGGAACCAGTGATTCTATACCATCTGTTTTGTATTTTGGAAGTTTTTTGCTATAAATAATAAACAAGCATGGCTGATTAGCAACCTTTGGGTTGAGGCTTTTTGGCACAATAGAATAGTAAAATCCTATTTTTAATTTTGCTGCTTTGAAATTTAAAAATACATATTGATTAAATGAAATCATCTCCAAAGGGAAGAGTATTTCTTTTAAGATAATAAGGAGAGCCCTGGCCAGGTGGCTTAGTTGGTTGAAGCATCATCCTGTAAACCAAAATGTTGTGGGTTCAATTCCCTGTTGGGGCACGTGCCGGGTTGTTGGTTTAATCCCTGTCAGGTTGCATATGGGAGACAACTGATCCATATTTCTCTCACATTAAGGTTTTTCTCTCTACCTGCCTGTCTATAAAATCAATAAAAACATAGCCTCGAGTGAGGATAAGTAAATAAATACATAGATAATAAGGGGGGAAATGTTACGGCTCAATTCTTGATTATTATTGCAACTACATAAGTAACTTTTGAATTGTTTTTAAGACTTTCTTTTTCTTCTTATAGGACCTCTTTATTGTTAGACATGAATTGGCCATAATGAGACTAGCTGCCTTTATGGGCATTACTATGTTAGTTGGAATAACTGGACTCTTTTATACTCAACTAATTGGCATCATCACAGTAAGTATATTTTTAATGTAAAATACTGTATTTATGAATATATTCCCTAAGTATGAACTTAATTCTAAAATGTTACAGAGAGTTTAGAAATTAGAGGAGAAAATTACCCAGAGTCATTTATCCCCATTTTCAGAAGCCTGTGTAATTGTAAAGTAGTTATAATAGTGTACAGAGTATACATACAATTTTTCATCCTGCCTTTAAAATTTAGCATAAAATATTTTTATATAGCTGTAGACTCCATAAGTAATCTCTCCCCTGTTGATCAGGGTCAGTGAGCAATTATTGTTTTCTATATTACAAAGAACACTACTTTGTGGAAATGGAGTTACTGATAGAAACATTTTATTAGTAATTAAATCTTATTTTTGCATGTACATATTAGCTAAGTGGGATTTAGCACAACAGAAAAGATCAAAAAGTGTGAGAAATATTGATAAGTACTTAAAAGTTTGACAATACATGGCATTGCAGAAGATGTAGGGTAAACACTTTCTCATATATTGGTTGGGGTATAAATTGGTATATCCTTTTTGAAGAACAAATTATCAGTGTCTGAAAATTTAAAATGCACAGTCCTTTCTCTACACATCCTGTAGAGACTATTTAATTATATGTAAATAAACATGTAATTTAAAAAAGATCTTCATTATTATACTATATATAATGTATGTATTATATATGAAAACTTAAGTGATTATCAGAATGTATTCAATGAAAGAAATGTATAGTAAGAAAAAAACACATCAGAATTTACTATAAAGCAATAGTATTCAAGAAAGTATGGTACCGGCATAAGGATAGACATATTGATAAATGAAATGGAATCGAGGATCCAAAGTATACACATATCCTTATGGACAATTATTTGCAATAAGGGTGCCAAGACTGTTTAATGGGGGAAGGTAAAGTCTTTTCAAAGAAATGCTGCTGGGACAACTAGCTATCCACATGCAAAGGAGTAAAATTAGGCCCTTACCTCATGCCATGGACAGACTAGTATATGAACTCAAAATGGACCATATACCTAAATGTAAGATCTGAAATTATAAAAATTATAAAACTCATAGAAGAAAACATAGGAGCAAGTCTTGGGTTAGGCAGTACTATCTTAAATATGACACCAAAAGGGCAAATGACCAAAGAAAAAAATTGATAAATTGGACTTACTCAAAACTTTTGTGATTCAAGGGACACTATTAAGAAAGTGGGGGTGTGTGTGAGAAAACAGCTCACAGAATGGGGGAAATATTTGCAAATCATGTATCTGCTAAGAGACTTGTATATAGAGTATATAAAGAACTCTTATAACTCAATCATAAAAAGACATTCTAATTAAAACATGGGATAAGGATCTACATGGGAATTTCTTCAAAGAATATATACAAATGGACAATAAATACATATAAAGATGCTCAACATCATTAGTCATAAAGGAAATGAAAGTCAAAACCATAATGAGGTTTTGACTATAATAAAAAATACACTAACAAACGTTGATGATTCATTATAAAGTACTTATAGTGTAGTAATTCAGTCATAAAGTAATTCACAATTACAGTAATCCCTCGATTTTGCAGACTTCGATTTAATGGACTTTAGATTTAACGGACTCAATTTCCAGTCTGTAGTTCATATGTGAAAACACCCTATTAATTTTAAAATGCTTTTAACCAAGATTTGCTTATAATTAAATTAACGGGTTTTCTTGTTTGTTTGTTATTCGTTTACTAGTATTTTTAAAAAATTTTAGCGAATAAGATAAAATAATTAGAAATTACTTAAATTTAAAAATAGTGGATTTCTAATCAATTTCCAAGGTTAAAAGTCAACACAACCAGATGTTTCTGTGGACTAGACTGATCTTAAGCCCAATTTTAAAGGATTACCTTTGATTATTTTTAGATTTAATTTTAAACAGGATTTAAATATATGTGCTTGTATATTTTTACTAAAATTAATATTGAAGTTAAAGTGTTTTCAAAGCAATCAACTTTAAAGCGTTCTTTATTTAGGGAACAGATTATTCTAATTTTTCCTTACTTAGACTGTTTAGTCTTTTTTTTTTCTGTTTCTGAATGAAATGGGTAGTGATGGTAGTTATTAGTGTAATTGATGTCAGAATTTCTTATTGAGCAGTAGTTCACACACAGCCAAGAATAGTGTCCATCTGACAACCACCAATACTAATGGTGCTGGGTGATTGTGTCAGTCATGTTTCCAGTCACTGGGCTTGGAGAGAGTTAATCAAGAAGTGCAGTAACAGCTGGCCCAGCGCTTCTGGCGAGGTTCTGACAGTGAGCTATTGTACGTGTGACAGTGCTCTGACAGTTTCTCTGAATGTTGTATACAGGCATTTTTGTTTTCTGGGCACTGTGGAGTTTATGTAATAGATTAAGCTTTTGGTGGGGTCTTTGGGGCTTAGTGTTTTTCTCAGTTGTGGTGAGGTTTGGGGTAGGGTGGGGAAGATGTATTTACTTGCAGTTTTGTAAAAGGCTTTAAATTCTCAAAGAAAAAATTGAGTTTTTGCTTTTGTCTCACAGGTACTATTGTTGGACTCTGCTTGAATTGCTAAAGGTAGCTTAAAGCAAAGCTTTTCCAGTTAAAAGGGGAAAATGTCTTTCCCCTACCCCACTCCAGTACTGGTTCATGGTTACCTAAATAAATACAGAAAGAATTACAATGCAGGGGTAACTTAATTTTAACTTGGTTATATTGTGCAATGAAAAGTATCTTATGTTCACAATGTTGAATTAGTTTAAATGAGATTATCTATTAAATAACATTCTCATTAGCAGACAGTTAGTGGGCTTACCTGCCTTTTAATATATACCCAGAAATGTAGTTCTGAGATTATTAATCCTTATAGTTAAATTTTGCTAAGTATCCCACTGAGTCATTGTGGTGAATTAGCAGCATTCAGTACAATCTCTGTACAAATTATGTTTGGTTTACTCAACTCCAAACCAGCATTGCAAATATGGAAAACAATTTAAATCTATTTGTGTAATAGTGTAGGGGAATAGTGCATTTTAATTTTCTTAAAGCATTACTAATTTCTTCAGTGATTAAATAGACGTGTTTTTATTTGGTTAGGAGGCTAAACACTTACGAGTTTTCCTTTTACTTGCAATTGTCCACACATCGGATCTTAATCTGACTTTAAAACATTATAGGATTGGAGAAAACAGAGACTTATTTATAGTAACTTGTAGATCTTCTCTCTCTCATATTCCATCATTAGGTTAGTTACTCTCCATGTCCCAGCCAAAGGAGCACATTTGCTCATCTTATTTCTATTGATAACGAAAAATCCTACTGAAAGTAGAATTTTGTATTAAAAATGTAAGAGTAGTAAACCTTATGTGTGGATCACAAACATAATTTTTCAGCTGTTTCCAGTGCTTAGTGTAAGGCTTATTTATACAATATATTAGTGTGTGTAATCATCCTCTCTGGAATCCTCTGTGTTTCTGTATAATTATTTCTTGTAAACTTGACTGATTTCACTAGCCTGTAAGCTCCTGATGCTAAGGACTGTGTCATAATAGTTACTTAGTAAATTTTTGATAGATGGATTAATGAGTAAATGAATCTTGGCTTATGTACTTAGTACTTGGTTTTCAACTAGGTTGCGGACGTTGGATTTTATTAGCATAGTCACCCACAATCCTGGTCATTTTAACTTTTATAATAAAAACCACGCTTTTATTTAAATAATTTTTAAAAGTTGCATCCTGATATAATTGAGATATTGTATTTCCAAGCCTTTTTAGAAAGTGTTTAGTAGGCAATATGAAATAAGAATGAGGACCACCATTTATTGAGGAGTTATTAAGGGCTCTAATGTATATTAACTCCTTTAGTCACTGTAAAAGACCTATGAGGTAAATATTATTATTCAAAAATTGAGATACAGACTTTTAGTAACTTCCTTAAGGTTTTATATAGCCCGAAAAGAAGTATGGGAATTATTTTGGAAAGAGATTTTCAGTGACTATATACATGTAAGATCTCCTGTCCTCTCACTTTAGTTCTGTGATAGATTAAATCCTTATGTGAATTTCAGATTTCTAATAAACTATATAGCTGGCCCTCTGTTGGAGATGGATGCTTAAAGAACCATTTATTTCAAATGAGGAATAGCATGAGTTCTGGCTTCAGAGGAGGGGAAAGAGCTGATAGTATCAGGAAATGCTTTCTCTTTGCACTGCTGATATAAATTAAAATTAAGGAATCATGCTATTTCTGTCCATGTTCAGTTTGTTTAGTGCTGCAAACTCACTTGGAACAATTCACACTAGTAGATGCTATGGAAGATGCAAAGTTAAATGAGCTTTTTGCTATCCGTATGTGGATCAGAGGTGCTAGAAGGCCAAGCAAAGGTTTACCTTAGAATTAGTAGAAGTTAGTAATAAGTAAAACAGGTATACAATCTCTAGTTCTGAAAAACTTTTTTGAATAGTTCATTAGTTCAATTTAAATCCACAGAATCAGGTATGTACAACAGCATTAGAAGCATAATAACAGCAAAGAGTGCAGGCGATGACTGGGGTAAGATTGAATTGTCTTCAGGGAGGCTTTCAGATAGAATGTTTTTACTTATTTCCAGTCTTCAGTTTGGCAGGTCTAGAAACTCCATTTTGAACATGTTCGTAAGCTTTGCACAGTGGCAGTAGCATAGCTAATGAGGTTTATCCGAGGTGCAATTATTACTAATCGAAAATGTTTCCAGAGTTAATGAGGCCGAGAAGCAGTGATTCTTGCTTCCAGACTTAAAAGTGATAGTTATAGATATAAAGGAGATTGTCAGGTGTGTCAAAGGACTCTTTACACTCTTCTTCCCTGTGACAACATATATGGCAAAGTGTTGGTGAGAATGAACTCAAAGCAGGATAAGTTAGTTGGATGGATTGTATCATCAAAGTATCTATTTCAAGAGGACTAAATTCTCAGGTCTGTCAACCAGGAAACTTCTGGTGATAAATTCTTCCTCTTTGCCCCTCTCCCTCCCAACTTTTCTAGTAGGCAATGAATACCTCCCTCTTATTTTCTGCTAGGAACCCCCCCTCCCCACACACACACTTTAGATATAATCTTATTAGTTAGGACACCTTTTGAGCTCACAACCTGGGCATGTGCCCTGACTGGGAATCCAACCGTGACCTCCTGGTTCATAGGTCGACACTTAACCTCTGAGCCATGTAGGCCAGGCAAAGTTGATGCTTTTATAGCCACAAATAAGTTCCTCAAAGTTGTAATCAGGTTGTAAATTTCTACATAGTAAATATTTCCTGTAATATTAGGCTGACCTTGTAATTGCTTTTTTATTCTGAAATAGTTTCAATTTTTTAAGTATTATCCACAACTGCAATTTTAGTCCATTTATATGTACCTTAACTAATAGCACTTGACTTCTGTCTTATCTTTTTGTATTTGTGCACAACTATCTCAATTGTTTTAGAACAACCTGTCACCCCTCAGTTCTAAGACACCATTAAAATTACTTGTCACTTTCTATACAGATGTGAAAACAGTGGCTCAGTTTTCCTTAAAGTCCCTAATCAATGCTGTCATGTATTTGCAGACTGTGTTTTCACAAAGTAAAACATTATTTTGAGGAAATTATGCAACAGAACCATGAAAGGTTCATTATAGGTAGAATTGTCATTGGATATCATGAATTTCAAAGCATAATAGGAAAACCAATTAATAGAGACTACTAGTATGTAGCTAATCTGCAGTCTTGTCCCAAATTCCTAGGTAATCTGGAAATAAAATTCCGTTATTGGTTACTTAGACATCTTAAAAAAGATTATTTTTTTCTGTATTTAGGCTAACTGTAGTCATTCTACTGTTCATGTGTAAGAAATTAATATTATAGCAATTTATGTAACTTCTATAAAGAGTCTTTTAAATTGAAGGTGCTTTTTATTAGTTTCATTGGAGGAAAGTTTTGCAACCAAAAAAGTTCTTGGGATTGCAGTTGCAACCATAACTATTTGCCTGAATAGTACTGCTTAATAGCAGTACAGTCCACCTACCGTATGTGAGCAAGCTAGTAGAGGAGAAGAGGAGAATAACTTCTGGAACTTTCTGGTATATTTAAAAGAAGTTATTTTCTTTTATACTACCTTAAAATATATTTAAAATGTAAATATCTAAACTAAGATTTTGTACTTTATTTTGATTATTATTTAGATAATCAGTTTCTCAATCTAATGATAGATTTTCTGTTAACATGAGTTGAACCAGCATATATAGAAACTACCTTTTGTTTGTTGACTTGTTTTTCTTATATATTCTTTAGAGCCTTATATAAAACATATAATAAGAAATTGTATTATTATGAAGAGGCTGATTTTTCTGTTGAAAAAGGAAATTGTTTTTTCACCAAAGGACTCTGATGAGCTCACTTCACCTTCAGAGCACTGGGTGTTGTGGTGTGGCAGGTGCAGGGGCCTTGTTGAATCTGTGTCTTCTCAGAAGTCCAAGCCCAGCAGCACTCTTTGGCTCTCTGTGCATTAGTGCCTTTGTCATTTTGGGTATTTATTTTTTTAATGCATATTCACTGGCAGTTGAATTAAAAGTAGATACTGGACTTTTAAAAGAATTATGAAGGAAGCAAGTATAATAAAAATATTACATAATGAAGCGAGACTCCTACAGTTTTTGTGAGGTTTTGTAATTGAATAATATTTGGGGAGTGGGAGTACAATGTAATTTTTATTCTGTTTTTTTCCCCCAAGGAATTTCCAAGACATTTCAAGAAATGTCTGTAGATAATTTAGAAATCGTATTACTCATATATAAACTGTTTAAATCTTCAGAATATTCTCTGGATATGATTTTAAAACATTAAAAATTAATATAGAATAAAGCCTTAATAACTTTGTTCTGAGTATTTTTCTTAATTTTTAATAGGATACAACATCTATTGAAAAGATGTCAAACTGTTGTGAAGAAATGTAAGTATAAAAGTGAAGTCTATAGAGTTCTTATTAAAAATGGAAACAACTGGCCACATTTGAAAAAATGTATGCATGTGGTGGAAAGATAATAGAATGATAGTTTTTTCTTGGAGCCTTGTCTAAGGCCTGAGCTAGGCAGGCATAACCCAGTCTTACATCTGGGGTCTTATAGCTATGCTAGTTTTCATACAAAATAAGTACTATCATTCTTGTTACTTGTCTCACTAAAGTAAGTTAAATTATTTGTCCTGAAAGTACATCAAAAGAGATTGCTACTGTGTTGTTGACACACATACTGTTAATCCTGAGATTCTCCTCCGCTTCAAAAGTTGCCGTAGGTTGATTGACGACACAGATACAATATCTGCTCTCCAGAGTTAAAACTCAGCTGCATGCCATAATGAAAGAAAAGCTGTATTTGTGATGCTGGGACACAATTCATCAGAGTCCTGTAATGGATCCCCAGCCAACCTGTATTGTTTTAGCTGACTGAAGTGCACCATGGGAGTGCTGTCTTTCACTAATAATGCTGTCTTCTGTAGATCGAGGCCCCGAAAGCCATGGCAGCAGACCTTCTCAGAAGTTTTTGGCACTCGTTGGAAGATCCTGTGGTTTATTCCTTTCAGGCAGAGGCAACCACTGCGAGTTCCCTACCACTTTGCCAATCACGTCTAAACAGATGGATGGTGGGCACAGATGGGTCCTCCATGCTGGAAATGCGTTACAGGTTTTCTGATAATAGAACGATGACAGTCTTCAAGTCAATTAAAATCCACCCACCAATCTTAGGCATCATAATGTGCCCCAGGCTTCATTTTAATAGTGATCTTGATCCTGTTGTGGGACTAACACAAGATCTATATTTAAGTTTCAAAGCATGTTTACTTTCAAATTAGCTTTCCACGGGGATTTCTTAAAGTGCTTTTGTTATTAAACTCAAAAGGCAGTGATTGGGATGAAATAATTGTACATAATTTCTTTTAGCACTGACAATATTACAGATTTTAATTTATGGGAATTTTCAGATGTTTATTTAAAATTTTCACTCTTGAGCAGTACTAATCAAATCTGAATTTAATTCTTCAGCTTTTACAAAAGGTTTTACACCTTATATGTGAAATTTCTTTTTCAAGTACAGTTTAAAATATGTTAATACTTTTATATATGCTGCAAGATTTTTTTAAAATGCAGCATAGGATTGAACAACAAAAAAAGGGCAGTGTTTTCTTAGTAGCTTTCTAATGTTTTCTCTTCACCAAAAACAAAATACCACTAAAATAAAGCACCAACTATCTACCTTATGTTAAAGGAAAGATTAAATGTTTTTCCATGTTAATTTTTCTGTTTCTTTTCCCTGTACTGTTGTAAGTATTGATTGTTGTTAATATATTTGTTCCGAGGAGAAAACTTTGACTAAGTGGGCATGTATTCCTATTTTACCTTAAGATTTTGGTGAGCAAATGGATAGAGAATTTGCAGTGATTCCACAGATATCTTTTCTAGTGCAGTTATACCAGAATGTGTGTTTTTAAAATGCTAATATAACTCAAAAATATATAATGTACAGTATAAAGAGGAATATTGTGCTTTTGAAAAATATATATACTTTTTGCTTTTATTTACCTACTAGTAGATCTAAAATTACACAATGAAGATTTATATATAATAAATATTGGCCAACTATTCCTGAAACAAAACTATAGGAAATTACTAGTAAAAGTAAATAACTTTTTTATACCTACAATCAATCAGCCAAATTGAATTTAAATTTTAATGGGCCAACTATAATTTGGATTGAGAGACCTTTTTTTGTAGCTAATGTTAGGAAATAGCCTTAAAATAAGAAAATATAATGATCTACATTTATCATTAGCCTTACACAAATTTAAATTGCTAACAGTGATGGTCTCTTAGAAAGCATAGAACATTTGTATAAAAAGAACATTAGCATACTTAGAAAAAAATTCAGCTTTAACATTTTCTCCATTAGAATACTGCAAAATCCATATATCTTTTTTGAAAATTTATGTACTCACAGTCTTTCTCTTGAATCTTAGAGAAGATTGAAGGGGTCTACTGTTCTTGGAACATATCAGTAGTTTCCTTTTACTTAGCTTTGATAGTAGGGAATCATACCTGGGAAATCATGAAACAGAAAGTTGCCATATCAGCCAGTTAACTATACTGTGGTTAGTTCTTTCAGAAACTATCTTCTAAAATAATAGAATTAGCTGTTCTCAGAAATATAAGTGCCATGTCTTACATGTTCTGATTATAATGCTTTATTATTTAAAAGTATAGAAGTGGCAGATGAAAATATGTATTGGTGCTGATAAAATGCATAGTAAATTTAATATGAGAAATTTATTTGTAGAGCTTAATGAACCACAAAATTAATATGTTCATGTCATGGAAATGGGTTGGGGTTTGTGCAAGCTAACATATTGACCAAATTTGGCCTGATGGGGGAACTGTTTTAAGGAAGTAATATATAGATAATACAGATAGATATCAATTGATTGCTCTGCCTATAACTGGACCTTGAGAAAACAGTGAAGTGTGAAGTGAAGATCCCTTAAAGAGCGTTATATTCCTTAAAGGCACAGTTACACTTCATATAGGAGTACTAATTACCTTGAAAGGTACTTGGGAGGTATTCAGAGCCAACTGCTGCCTCAGTAATGAGAACCAGAGGTGGTCCCTTTCCCACTCTAAGAGGGTTTTGTTTTTCTTAGATTTACCATTTCTAGGGCACATTCTCTTTCCTCTTTATACCCTCACTGATCCAATCCCTCTGTACCTGATTCCCCTGGTACTGGAATACAGACTAACACACTAGGCAAGGCAGATATTTATTTTATTTGAATGGTAGAAATGCTACGTATCAATATATTTATATAAGATTCTATATTAATGAATATCTATATATACATGTGCTTTAATTTTCAGTATTCTCAAATTAGCAGGCCTAACTGTGGGTTTAGTCCTTGTTAGACAACTTGAGAAAAACCAGCGGGTAGTTTCCTAGGGAGTGCCTGAACTCTAGTGCTCTCTCTGCGCCCTCTTTTGGCTAATTGGTGTAATTATACTGGCTCTAGAGACTTACTGGCCCACAAGTAAATTGTATGGCCAAATTCTGAACCTGTCAGAGGTACAAGCTTAGGGGAGTGTATATGCAAGGCTGTTATATTTTATGAAAATTAATGTGTTCCTGTTTATGATGACACATATAGTTCATACAAAATGATGACTAGTTTGCTTCATTTGTGTATGTTAATATATATATTTGCTGTCATTTACAAGTTTATATCAGATTAGGATAAACAAATGTAAACATTTCATGAATTTTTATTTTAAACCTTATTTTGGAAAATTAAGTCTTTAGAATTAGAAAAGTCATTACTTTAAAATTACCAATTTATTAGGAAACACAGAAATCTATTGTTACAGTGGTAAGCAAGTATCTAATGTGTTTTACTGAGTATCTAAAAAATACATTTAGTGTTGTTTTTAATCTCAGTTTTGGAATGATTTTTTTTTTTCTGATTCTGTTACACTAAAATAATGAGATTAGTAATTCTTTTTAAACTTTCCTACTCAGAGTTATTGGATGAAGTGGTTCCTTATAAACATTACATTTGAAGCAATATGTATTTTAAAGGCTATTTTACTAAGCAAAGTCCTTAATTGGACTTCTGGAGATGAGTTTTACGTAGATATTATATATTATACCTCTTGAACAATTATATTTGTTGTTGTTCTTTTCCTTAAACAAAAAATCTTTATGGGCTGAAGATTGTAAGCAGAAATTGACTGAGTTCATATTCCCCAAACAGTAGGCATTCAGTTAAAGTGCTTTTGGTACTTTGTAACCAAGACTTACAGTTTAAAAATACTAAGTTAATTGTTCCATTATAAAAAAAAATACTATTTTGCTTAAGAGTTGTATTAAAAATATTTGTGGTTAACATGAGATAGCTATATGTAAATTTCTAGTTTATGTATTAATCTCTTTAACAGAAGAAAACAGTTTACTTTTAATAGTAATAGTGGTAGAGAACATAAGCTACATAACATTCAGTAAAATGATGAAGTTAAAACTTCTGTGAGAATGAACATCAGTAAATTTTTGCTAATGTTTAGAGGTATTTTTCTCTAAGTATGGTAGCTAATTATAACTATACTTCATCAGGCTTTTTCAAGACACTTCTGTACAAGCAATTAGTTGAAGATATGTTTCAACCAAAAGGGCTTATTAATTCTGAAAGCTAACTATGAAGACTTAAGTTAGGACAACACTTCCAGCCAGGAAGTGTGAAGTAATTTAGATTATGGCCACACAGTCTTTTATGTGTTAGGTCATGGGGCAGTTTGAGTGTTCTCACATGAATTGCTATAAAATCACAATGTGTCCAGCCCTGGTTTACAATGGCATTAATATTAACAAAGCTGCTAGTCTCTCTCTATATTTTTCTCTAGTCTCCAATGGCTTCCCTTATGCTTCATGGAGAAATAGATCACCTAGCTCAAGTTTACTATACTTTAGCTGCTTCATTCAATAAGTTTTTTACATGACTTCTAATATACATAGATCTACCTAGAATTTATTTGGTGAAGTTTATACTTAACAATCATTAAATAATTTACTAATAGATACAGGGATTGGATTTTTTACCCAATTCTGTTGCTTTAAAAAATATAAGTATTAGCAAATGTAGTTAATAATCATGTACATTTAGTAGGTTCTACTTGTTAGTTTTTTTTATTTACTCAGTATTTATTGTTTTTACCACTTCTAGAAATTATGCTAAGCCTTGAGAATATAAAAATATACAAAATATCCCTGCCTATATGGAGATTACAGTTTACATACTTTATGATATTATAGAAGTCAGTTTTTAAAAAGGTGTTATAATTAGAATGTTAATGTAGTTATAATATTACCCCTTATATAATTAAAGAGTTGGAAAGTATCAAGAAAAGCAAGAAATTAGTATCTTAAACCAGAGGAAATATTAAGGATGATTTTCAAAAACATAATTCTGAAAATAAAGTAGCACTGAAAAGCTATCAAAGATGGCATTAAAAATTTCCCCTATAGACATTTTTCATTAAAAAACTTTAGGCAAAATGTGTTTTTACCTAGTATTGGCTGGATTTTTGGCCATTCTCTCTGTACTTCCAGTGCAGACTGCAGCTTAGCACACAGAAGCATATAACCCATGTCATCTAATAACGGACAGGTTATCCTATATTACACAAGATATCCATCCCGGCAGTACTCCTTCTTCTATCTCTGACCACATAAACGATTCCCAAATATGTCCCCACACATGCACTCAAAGCGCAGCTCCACTCGACAGCCATCATTCAGCAACAGCCTCAGCATCACCTCATCGTTTAGGGCATGCTGAATGGCAGGCACTGTATTCAGGACTTCTGTGCAATGGATATCAGTATTAGGAACAGCAAAATCCAGCGCAGTCCTCCTCTCATTGTCATAGCTCTTGGAAATGTGGTCAGCAAGCAGGTTATTGATGACAAAACCACTCCCAACGAGCAGTTCTAGGCACTGTGCTTTTGCCCATCTGCTGTTGAGCGAATTGGTGTTAGCCCACATTTCCAGATTGCATGCTTGGATGTTATTGGGATAAGATATTTCAGTGCAAGATAATGTCCCTCACAGGCAGCTCGGTGTAAAGGAAGATGTCCTTCTCTGTTAGGTACATGTTTGCTTCCTCCATATCGCGGCAGGAGAGAAATGCAGTCAGGATTGCCCCCTCCTGCTGCCTCAAACAGCAGTAATGTCCCATCATTTGCCAAAGCAGACACATCACTGTCTTTGAGGACTAGGTGTCCAGCACATCACAGAGACCATACCCAGCAGTAGCACCTAATGGTGTAACTCCAAACTGTCTCAGGCAACATTGCCAGCAGAGCTATGAGATCTTTTTAAAATATATATATGTACATATATTACATATATATATTTATTTAAGAGGGGAAAGGAGAGGAAGAGCAAGAGAGACATCAGTGATGAGAGAAAATCATTGATCAGCTGCCTCCTGCACACCCCCTACTGGGGATGGAGCTTGCAACATGGGTATGTGTCCCAACTGGGAATCCAACCGTGACCTCCTGGTTCATAGGTTGATGCGCAACCACAGAGCAATACCAGCCAGGCGTAGGTCTTCGTAGCCTTGTTTGGCTGCCTCATGCATGGCCAACAGTTGTTGACACAGGGCTGGTCAAGGCTGGTGGTGTGTTTGAGCAGAGCAGACACCATGTTATAGGAGCTCTTGTTTACAACTTGAAGATTTTAAAAAGAACAGTTGACAGTAGGCATATTAACATGAATATCTCAGATGTTATTAAACAAGTTACCAAATTTAACATCAAAAGAGATGTTAGCTATTCCCTTCTACAAGAGAATATTGTATTTTTCGTACCCCTTCCATTTCTTGTATCCAAATTTCTATTGAGGAGTGTAAGCATGCAGGATAATACCTTCTCTTTAAGACCCCAATCTGAACAGGTTCAAGAGTTGCATGAAAGATAGTACACATTACTAAGATGTTGCATAGAATCTTTCTAAATTTTAATGTCTTCATTAACAAAATAAAAATAACATTCACTGTTGGATTGTATAAATTAAATAGTGTATGTAAAATGTTTCGTATATACTAGGAGTGCAGTAAATTATTACTATTGTTAGTAAAAGTACCATTTCATCACTTCTAGGATCCTGGAACCACATGTGTAAATAAGATTTATCAAGTTCTTCCCCCTCTACAAAGAGGTGTGGTGTTTTTTTCTTCTCATGCTCTTAATGGGAGTTTAGCAATAGGAATGCTTAGAATCTAGGTAGACCAGGTGTTCTAAACAGATGAAGCATATGACAGCTAACGTACTACCATTTCAGAGGTTTTCTAAACCAGCTATCTCTTTCCCCCACTGCTTGTCGCTAGTGCCTGAAATTACACTGCTTAAAGTGTTTTCCCCCTTTAGATTAAGACCAGATTTTCCCAGCTTAGATATAACTATTTCTAAAAAAGGTAATGCATTTTCGCTTATCAAAAAGGGGGAAGAGGAGAGGACAAAGAGGGTAGGGAGGGAACTACTTACTAATATTACTAACCTATAAATTAACAAATGAATCAATGTGTTATTTCATGTTCATATTTGTTGCCCTCTATTCTAAGAATCATCCTCTGAATTTATATATAAATTACAAATTTCATTATACTCTGAATTTAGCCATTCTCAACTGAATTTTAGAATATTCTGCAGTAGAATGTGAGAAAGTAATAGAACCAACTTTCTTAAAGTATTTTGAACCGAAGTTATTATTCTGTGTAGTATTTAACATTCTCTGCTGCTTTTAGGATGATGATGGTTTAACTTCAAGAGAGTGACTGTTTCCTCAGATATCTCATTTCATTATCATTGTGCAGTTTTTAACAACAAAATTTACTATATTTTCATCTGTTCTTTAGATGTTGTAATGTGCTAATTTGAAACAGAAGTAACGATGGTGTTTAAAATTATTAAGTCATTTGGTATTGCCAGTGTTTTCCCACTACCATATTTTTTTACTAGTATGTCCTTTTCCTCTAGTCCACCATCGAGGACATAGAGTACAAATGAGTAGTGAGTAGCCAAAATTGGAGAAAGAAAATAGGGGTACTTATTAAGATGGTGAGAAAGCCAGGCGGAGCATGGAAAATAGCATCCCAGCAACAGAGTAGACTGGATGGAGTTCTGTGGCATCAGAAACTCCCCCTGCTACAGTCATGTTAGCCTTCTCTCTCACTGTTAACCATTGTACTGTAAGAGTTAATGCATGTGAGCGTTTAGTTTGAGTTATCTTATTGAAGGAGTTTATATTGCTGATTCTCTTCAGCTGGTCAGATGCCTTTGAGAAGTTATTTTAAACAATAAAGTGTTAAGAATAATGTGAGAGGTGCAGCTATTTAATGCTGAGGAGACATGAATAGATTGCCCGGAAGTTTCATTGAAAAAACTGGGACCTTTTTCACAAGTCTCCTACTGCAAAGAAAGGATACTAAGTATTATAGTAAATTTTGTCACTAAAGTAAAAATCAAGAATTTACATATAAGGGATGATTTTTCACTTTAAAATTTGGGCGATTTGGCGTTCTTGATACCTTGAAGGTCTCCATACCTATTAGTATTGTGAATGCCTGGAACATGTAATGTAGTGCTTGCCACAGAGGTTCAACACTCTGATCTTTTTAGTATTGATATTTTATATATTAACAGTGATGGGGGCAAAATGGCAACAAAAAAGGTATGTTTCTATCTGTGGCTTTGCTTGCTTGTATGAGGAAATACAGGGTTTACTTGCATAGACTGTTAACTACAGGGAAAGGTTGTCTTCATATTGCAAGTTCTGTGTTCTTGCCAGTGTTCACTGGGTGACATTTTCACCTGCTGGTGCCTGAAGTTAGTGTTTTACAACCTCAACAACTCAAACATCCTGGTGCTACTCATTTAGCATTGAGTGACGTTTTTATTTCCTGTACCAAAGAGTTAATTTTCTTTTTGGTTGACTGAGAGTTCTCTTCTCACATCCTTGTGTTTATAAAGTAAAGTTTAATGTTACTAAGAACAATTTTGATGAACAGATCTTAGTTTTTACACACTGCTGCCTCAATTTCATTGGTTTTAAAGGTCTCTCATTTGAACTTTTTTTTAGTTAGGCAGATTAGTATGGTTTTTTATTTTGTATTTTAATATAGATTGACTACTGTAAAAGTTTAATAGGTTGAAGTTGCAAAAAATAATCAAAGCACTTTTCACAAGCTATTTTAGTTTTGCTTTATTTCTGCAGGAAAAAATGAGAAATAATAAGAAGTCTACCTTTATTTCTATAAGTGAACTATCTAGCTTATTGGGCCCTTTTATTGAATGCTGAAGCAAAATGATAAAGTGCAAAGGTAAGGGCCCTTTCTGATTACAGATGAAGAACTCTGCTTCTTGCTCTGTGTAATCCTTAATGCCATTAAAGAGTGATACTGTCATTTGTCTATTTTGCAAACAAGGTTAGAATTAAAGAACACTTATAAATATACATATACCAGGGTGTCCCAAAAATGTATACACACTTTGAATAATTATTAATTCCAATTGGTTAAATCTGAAAAGAAAGGAAAATCAATTGAGCTGTCAGCTGTTAAGTGTGTATACATTTTTGGGGACACCCTGAATATATAAACACTTCCAAAAAGGAAATGCAAATACACTTGATTTAAGCAAAACTGTAATAGAAAATTGAACTTTACAAAAAAAGAAGGTCGCTATGCTGTTATTCACTTTACATAAAAAATTAAGAGTAAGAGTATTTTAAAAACTTAATTCTCAGTAATTCATTTTATAAAAAATGGGAGAAATAAAAAAAACCTTAGAAAAGTACTTATAATTGTCCAAATGTAATATTGCTATGTATACTATTCTGGTTTTTTATGTTTCCTAAAACTTTCAAAACATTCATTGGGGACCTTAAAACTGTGGCTGAAATTGTTAAAAATTCTGGCAAGAAGATAACAGTATGTATGTATTGGAAAAGTAGACAGTCACATTTGAGAATGTTTTGTATCATTTTCACTCAACAAATATTCTCTCATTGAATGTAGATACAATATATGGTTTTGCAGTGAATTCTGAATGGGAAAAAGAATCAGGTCTGAAACGTATATGAAACATGACTTAGGATCATTTGAATGATATGTAAGAATACAGATATACATGTCATTAGCGGTAAAAGCAAAATTTGAAAGCAAAATGGGAAGAAGCAACAATGTGTCTCTCTGTCAACAATATATTTCTTAGATTTTGTTGCCACAATATTAGTACTGAGTTATTCAGCTTGTTAATGCATTATTTAAATTAATGTGGCTGAATGCAGTTATTTATTCAAGTGATTGGGTAGTAGAGAGTTCACCACTATCCTCTGTCTTCCAGAGATGAATATTAAAAAGACATTTCTACTGTAGCATAGGTACATTAAAGCAGAGATGCTCGGACTTGAGTTGCGGGTCTACGGGAGAACAGGGTAGGCTTTGGGAGGACTGAGCACAGGTGATTGTGCTTGTATGAGCTTTATGTCCCTGGAATTAGCCTTTAAAAAAAAATCTAACTAGCAAGTTTAATGATTAGGCAAAATCTGTGATATTTTGAGACTTCCA